TTAAAAAAAAAAAAAAATGGGTTTGTAGGGAATTTTAAGCCCTACAACTCCATATTTTTTGTTTTTGAATCCGACTTTGTTTAGGATTTTTAAAGAATCAAAAACCAAATTGGATTTAAAGAAAAAATATATATATATGCAATGTGCCCAGTCGTGATAATCAGTCGTCACTCGCAAAGACAAAATAGACGAACGCTGCTGATAAATCATAATAATAATGATCCCAAAATGAGAGAGAATGCATACACAGACGAGAGAGGGAGGAGGRAGAATAGATTTTGAGAGGGTGGAAGAGTCTCCTCCCTCTACAGCCCACTTCCTCTTCGGGCACTTCCTCCTCCTAACCGCATAAGCGTGTCTCAATCAGAGATCCGGATATCCAAGACAATGTAGACCAATAGTGCCACGTGGCACCAGSAGACCAGTCATCAAGCAGCAACGTGACGACGAAGTTGAAGACACCAGGTACGTATCACGACCCAAACCACAGTCCTGGATCCTTCTTCCGAATACTTGTCAAGCAGAACAGCAATATGGGCGCCCAGCGCCTTCCATCTCAGCAGCAATACTACGTGGCAGCAACCACGAAGATAACATGTGGCATCTGCCACGTCGATAACCCCTCAGACAGTAGTGCGCCAGCCAGCATGTTGGTCGCACAGCACACTCAAGCCACGAACCAGCAACGAGCGTCGGTCGTCAAGTTCTCCGCAGCGTCTCGCCAGCAAGACAGCATAGAGCCGGCATTGACGCGAGAGCGTCGAGTCCCCATAGACTCCAGACGAGAGTCTAGATGTCAAAGCCAAGAAATCAGCCCAATATGTAGTGTTGACGGCGGGGTCTGGGCCCCAGTCCTCAAGTCAGACACGGCCGAGATCGATTATCGTCGACGGTCTGGATTGGGTTGAAACTGTATCCTCCTTGGTCCACTGTTCTGACTGGGTACCTGCACTCATACAAGTTGATGCACACGACCAAGGGCCTGGGCGAGGTTCCTGGACCTATAGTTCACTTTGACCTTTGAATTTCTTGTTGTTCGCGGTCGCACAGTCACCCGCAGCGGCCTGAGGCCGAGCAGCGCGTGGTCGCACTGCTCGCTGGGCCTGGGCTTGGGTTACAGCGCCCAGGCCGCTGCTGAACACGGTTTACTGCATTCCTGCCGGCCCGAATTCGAGTTCCACCGCAAAAATACTTAAGACTTCAATCCGCGTTCATAGTTAGCAACAATATCAGGAGCAGTATCCATCAGTTCTCGTCTGCTAAACCAACGGTCTTCAGAGGCATCTTGGAACTGGAATCTTACTTTATACTGCTTCTGAGGTCTGCCTCTTCCACCAGTAGAAAAGAATCCATGGTCATTAATTTTCTCAACCACATTGTTGCCATTCATAGAAGGAGGTATGGCAGATGGTCGGTGAGGAAATTTTGTTCCTTCTACATATGGAAGGAGTTTAGACGCGTGAAAGACGGGGTATGTCCGAAGATGAGGGGGAATGTCAATCCGGTATGATGGTCCATCGGCATCCCCTATCACCTTGAGAACTTCCCAGGGTCCTAAATAGACAGGCATCAGTTTCTAAGAAACATTCTCTTCTAGAGTGAATTCTTTGGACTTAACCCTGACCAAGTCACCAACTTGAAAAGTAGACGGGCGTCGGTGTTTGTTAGCTTGTTCAATCATGCGCTCTTGGGTTTTCCTCAGATTCTCCTTCACCTTTTTTATGTCTTCTTGAAACATAATGGCATATTCCTTTGTCCCTGGTGGAAGTCTAAGAAATTGATCCCTGGTTAAAACATCAATGGGACGCTTAGGCTTCCAGCCCTTGTGAAGTGCGTTAGGTGTGCGTCCCGTCGCGATATGCACACTATTGTTGTATGCGCCGGCAATCTTGGGTAAGTTCTCATCCCAGTCTATTTGGTCAGGACGGACATACATTCTCAGAAGTTGTTGGACCATACGGTTCATTTGCTCAGACTGGCCATTCGTTTCAGGGTGTCTACCTGACGACATGGTGAGTCGTGTACCGTAGGCTTCCATCAATTTCTGCCAAGGCATGCTTGTGAATCTGACATCGCGGTCAGATACGATAGACATAGGGAACCCATATTCAGTTACCCATCGCATCTGAAATTTAGCAATCACAAGCTCAGTTTTGGCTTCCGCAGGCAAGGGTATGAACATAGCATATTTAGAGAAACGATCAACCACAACCATAACTTGACTATATCAATGGATACAAACTCATCTGGCTCACTCGGTATAGGTAGTGGTCGGAGTAACCCCAAAGGTTTCTCAGTAGACGGTTTGTTTCTCTGACATACTTGGCAAGTACGAACATATGTTAGCACATCCTCTTTCAAACCCTTCCATTCATAGTGCTCACATACTTCAGCATACGTCTTCTTGAAACCAAAGTGTCCCTCTGTGTCATGACATTCCCCAATCAGTAGACTCTTAAGTTCTTCCTTGTGAGGAATGCATAATCTCTGTTCAGTTTGGTCCAACAAGAAGAGTAAGTCATCAGACAATCGGTAGTGAGGAAGTTGGGATGGATCCTTGGCTAGGATACCCATGATTGGTTTCCAGACAGGGTCAGTGGCATATCCAGCGCGAATCTGAGCTTTCACATCATTACCAACATCCAGGTAAGAGACGATAGCCCCAAAGAAGTCACTCCTCCTAGATAGTGCGTTTGCTACAACATTAGACTTACCTTTAATTGTTTTGAGTTCGAAATCAAAGGTATCAATAAAAGCAGAGCAACGCACCAACTTGTCAGACAATCGAGGTTGTGTCTTGATCCACTTTAGAGTCAAATGGTCCGAGTACACAGTGAAGTGTCTGCCAAGGAGATAGTGTTTCCACGTTTCTAGGGCACAGACTAATGCATATAACTCCCTTTCGTAGGTGGAGTTGGCGACTTTGTCGCACGGCAGTCGTTTAGACATAAACTCAATAGGGCGGTAGCCCTTGCCGTCGTCTTGCTGTAAGACAGCGCCAACATCATACTGACTTGTGTCAGTCGTAACAATGAAAGGAAGAGACGGGTCGGCAATCTTGAGGACAGGATAGTGAGTTAGAGCATATTTCAGCTATCGGAAAGACAAATCACAATCCTTATCCCATAGCCAGACAGTACCTTTCTTAAGCAACCTTCTCATTGGTGCAGCGATAACAGAAAAGTTCCTAACGAACTTCCTATAGTAACTCGCTAAACCAGGAAAAAATCGAAGGTCTGTAAGAGTCTTTGGCTGCGGCCAATCTATGATTGCCGATATCTTTTTTTTTTCAGGCCTCAATCCCTCCTCGTTCACTGTATGTCCCAAGTATAGGACCTCAGACTTAGCGAATTCGGATTTCTTTGGGTTGAGTTTGAAGTTACCCTCGCGTAACTTCCCGAGTACTAGACGTAGATGTTTCTGGTGATCGTCTAGTGTTTTACTATATACTAGAATATCATCCACATAGACGATGACGAAGTCGTCGAGCCATTGCCTGAACAACTCGTTCATGGACCTTTGGAAGGTCGCAGGTGCGTTCGTTTGACCAAATGGCATCACGATGAACTCGTAATGACCATATCTCGTACGAAACGCGGTCTTATGCTGATCGGCCGGATCCACCTCGATCTGGTGGTACCCAGACTTAAGGTCGATCTTACTAAGGACCTTACAACCGTGCAACTGATCCAGAAGATCATCGATCCTTGGCAAAGGTTCGGCGTTTTTGACGGTGACGGCATTCAACCCTCGGTAATCGATGCAAAGGCGCAACTCACCTTCCTTTTTGGGCACAAATAAGAGAGGTGCGCCATAAGGAGAGGAGCTAGGGTGAATCCATCCCTTCTCCGTCAACTCAGACAATTGCTTCTTTAGTTCCTCAAGTTCCCTTGGAGATATGCGATAGATAGGGCCCTTGGGAACCTTGCTACCGGGCACGATCTCGATCGTGTGCTTGATAGCACGCGAAGTGACCCCGGTAGGCTCAGACATAATATCGGCAAACTTCGTTAGGAGTGCATCTATGCCAGGAGGATGGGTAGTTGAAGACTCTCCTACTTTCTTAACTAACAACATTACTACCTCATCCTCTAACTTCTTCTTTGCAACCATCGATCGGAATGCAGGGTAGCTCATGCAACAAAAAGACAAGACAGAGTCAGATCCTAACCGATGATACAACTTAATCGGTTGCAATGTAGATGATTCATCTTTGATCTTTACTTTTTTCAGTTTGAAATCAATCTTGGGATCAGCTTCTTCGTGCCAATCCATTCCCAATATGATATCAAATGGCATGTTCTTCTCGATTAGGAAGGGAAGCTCATGCCAAATCTTTTTCCCATCCTTAGTACTGAACTGACATCGAATACGATCGAYGTACTGMGTTACCGTCATCGTGYTTTTGTCAGCCAACATARACGTGATTGGTCTAGCTAAYGTTTGGATCTTCATSCCGAGGTGCAACTTGCGGATTGCACGTTCAGACATGTAAGATCGTGTGGACCCAGGGTCCAGCATCGCACCAACGTGTGTGCGATTGACAACCAAATCGGCAATCAATAGTTCCCCCTTAGACTTGGCTTTCTTCGCCCACGAACTGTGTAACGCGACTAGCTCGCTACCCAGCTCGTCAAGGAAGTCGTCCAGAGACAGACATAAGACTGGAGTGGGGATATCTGAACGACGGACGGAAGGGTTTCCATCCTCTGCCACACGGGAGTCGGAGTGTGGAAAGGGATCGTAGGCGCCTTGCATGTGATCGCACTCTCCGACTCTGTAGGAATAGATGTTATTCTTACTAGCTGCTCCCTTTTGAATTCCTAATCAACGGACAAAAGGCAATTACATGCCCCACAGTGCCACGTTTGAGGCACTGCGCATTATCCATTCTATCTTGCCACACCTCCCGGGTTAGTCCCATCTTCAGCCATGGTCTGTCGGCCGCAATCCCAGGATGGTATGGGAAGGAGCGTGGTCTTCCCTTCGGTCGAGTGTTCGATGACGGTCCTCCTTTGTTGACCGTCGTAGCGGTGATCTCCCCCTTTCCGGAGTCACTGTTGCTCTCACCACCACCCTCGGATTCCAATGGTCATTTCTCCATTGTATCGTCGTCGAATACGACGAGGGTGTGGTCTTGGCGCTTTTGACGCCATATGACCCGCTTGTCGTAGCCTCCTCGACCGCCTCCTCCTCCATTCTTTACGGTAGCAGCATAGGAACCTTTGACTTGCGAAGTCATTTGTTCCCGCTGCAATGCAAGGTCGCGGAACTGGCGGCAGGTATACTTACTTGACTTGGCCTCGGCGACCAATTGCCCTCGTATCGGTTCGGGCAACGCGAGGGAGTAGATATAAAGGACCTGAGAGTCCTGCACGTTAAGACCAGGAACCTGCAACAGGCGGTCCACCTCACGAGACAATGACTCAACGGAAGACGAGGACTTCTGTCCTATCGAGGTGAGTTGGTCGAAGGCCTTATCGGTCGTGGTCTTGTCCAAGAAGCGGTCCTTGACCTTTGCAAGGAACTGCTTCAAGGTCATAGTCTTCGCCCACTCACCTATATCGTCAAACCCCGCGGCATTCGTCTCCGCCAGAACCCACTGCTTCACTTCACCACCCATACAAGAAGTGGTGAACGCCACTTGCGACTCTTCTTCTACCGGTGCAGTCCCAACGTAGGTCTGGATCTCTGCGATCCAGAGTGGAAGGCTTTCTTCTTTCTWATTAGAAAAAGTGAAAGGTAATTTCATCTTCACTTTTTCTTTTTTCTTTGGCTTAGTCGGATCTGCGGGTTTGRCATTGTTCTTAGGAGGGGAAGTGGGACCGTTGGGACCACCATTCCCGTTTCCATTCCCGTCTCCATTTCCGTTTCCATCACCATTCCCGTTGGGTTTCTTTTCCGGTTTCTCTTCCGGTTTCTTCTCGGTTTCTTTTACCGTTTCCTTCTTCGTTGTGTCGCTGTTTTTCACTCCACCAATAAGCAACTTCTCGGGCTTGACGTCCGCTCTTCTTTCTTTATCTTTTTTCTTTTCATCATTTTCAAGCATAGGGGCTTTCCCCTTGACAATACTAGTAATGACATGAAGGCCAACAGCGAATTCATCCATTCTAGATTGCTGTTGGTCTAACTTTTCTTCAAGAAAAGCCAAATACGTCAATATTTGTCCGAGCGTCTGAGCAACATCTTTTTCATCTAAGGAAACGTGCTGCTGAACTCTACCCATTCTCTGTTGCAACCTAGTTTCCTGTTCTTTTCTTTGCAATAGCTCTTCCCGCTTCCTTTTTTTCTTTTGCGAGTGTCTCTTTCAACTGTTGTATGTTCTCTTCAATACTTTCTATCTTTACTTCTGGCATGGTATCTTTCCGTTGGGCAATCTCTTCCAACTGCTGGATGGTGAACTGGTCCAGTATCTCACGACACTGGGCAATGACTTTATGGATCTCTGTTGCTGCCGCCACCATCTCTACACTCGTGGTAGCTTTGGCCAAGCGATCAGAGATCACTTCAAGGTCAAACTTACCACGGATGTGTTCTCTTGCGGCCGGGACAACGAATTTCATGTCCACCAGCATCTGGGAGAGAAGTTCTCCCAATTCACCTCTTCGTGCCTCGATCTGGGCACGTGTACGTGGTTCCATCGAAGAGCTACCTGCTCCCACCGCATAAGGCACGTGCCCAAGACCGAACAGATGAGGCACCCACCTGGTTAGCAGAGATTGACGCATGTGTTGAACAATCGGTGCCATGGTTAACGTCAACAGGAAACTTAACAGGCCAATCTTACTCAATAAAAGAAAACAGACAATATTATTGATAATTGGCCAGCAACTCAATATCGATACAACAAAGAATTCACAAGAAAATAAATAAATAAAAATCATTTATTATTTTCTTGATTGATATGTTGTTCTGATTTGTTTTTCTCTCTTATTCGTGTGACGTCTTTATTTCCAGGTAATCGAGCAGGCCTAGGTCGTTAGCATCCAGCAGGTATGAGTACATGCACAGCCAGACAACAGGTAAGTACCGACAACAYAACCAATCAACGTCAATCTTCCCCTCACACAAGGCCACGTCAGCATGCACTCAAATCACCCCAACAGCAGGTAAGCACCACAAGTCAGAGTCTATTGCTCATGCCGCTCCCAGCGTCGGAATGCATCAATCGTTTCCCAAGGCAGGTTGTGCTTGCGTCAGCCAACCCCCGGTATGCCAACTCAGCTTTCGCCAAGTCAGCACGTCGAACCAATCAAGATCGTGGGGGGGGGTGGCTTCAGCGAGGAATGCTGGCCGCTCCACTCCTTTCTGTTACCCAGATCTGTTCGTGAAGGTGAACTCCAACAATGCTGCGCTTCACAAATCTTCTCGCCGCATCCCAAGTTCAATCAAGTCTGCCACGTCAGCGTCGAATCTCGCCAATGCCAGCGAGTAATCAAGGAGTCAATCAATCAGCTCCAATCTGGCTGGCAAGATAGCAATGCGGCAACTCTATATTGTCGGCGAGACATCATCAGCGCATGAGTAGAAGTTCCCTGCTCCAATCTTCAATGGACGTGGATGTGCCACGTCAGCAATCAATCATCATTGGCAAATAATCTGCCCGTCATCACCATGCCCGTCGMGCACGTCGTCGGGCTCAATGTCTAGACAGCGTGTTGAAAAACACGCGCGACAATAATGTCGCAAAAGAGAGAGTATCCCGTCACTTACTTACCTGGCGCGCGCGACCTTGGAGAGAAACTGGCGCGTCGTAATCATAGCGCGTCAGAAAAACGCGTGCACCGTGAAGACAATGTCGGAAGTGAATGCTCCGATACCAAACTGCAATGTGCCCAGTCGGGATAATCAATCGTCACTCGCAAAGACAAAATAGACGAACGTTGCTGATAAATCATAATAATAATGATCCCAAAATGAGAGAGAATGCATACACAGACGAGAGAGGGAGGAGGGAGAATAGATTTTGAGAGGGTGGAAGAGTCTCCTCCCTCTACAACCCACTTCCTCTTCGGGCACTTCCTCCTCCTAACCGCATAAGCGTGTCTCAATCAGAGATCCGGATATCCAAGACAATGTTGACCAATAGTGCCACGTGGCACCAGCAGACCAGTCATCAAGCAGCAACGTGACGACGAAGTTGACGACACCAGGTACGTATCACGACCCAAACCACAGTCCTGGATCCTTCTTCCGAATACTTGTCAAGCAGAACAGCAATATGGGCGCCCAGCGCCTTCCATCTCAGCAGCAATACTACGTGGCAGCAACCACGAAGATAACACGTGGCATCTGCCACGTCGATAACCCCTCAGACAGTAGTGCGCCAGCCAGCATGCTGGTCGCACAGCACACTCAAGCCACGAACCAGCAACGAGCGTCGGTCGTCAAGTTCTCCGCAGCGTCTCGCCAGCAAGACAGCAGACGCGAGAGCGTCGAGTCCCCTTAGACTCCAGACGAGAGTCTAGATGTCAAAGCCAGGAAATCAGCCCAATATGTAGTGATGACGGCGGGGTCTGGGCCCCAGTCCTCAAGTCAGACACGACCGAGATCGATTGTCGTCGACGGTCTGGATTGGGTTGAAACTGTATCCTCCTTGGTCCACCGTTCTGACTGGGTACCTGCACTCATACAAGTCGATGCACACGACCAAGGGCCTGGGCGAGGTTCCTGGACCTACAGTTCACTTTGACCTTTGAATTTCTTGTTGTGCGCGGTCACACAGTCACCCGCAGCGGCCTGAGGCCGGCCTGAGGCTAAGCAGCGCGTGGTCACACTGCTCGCTGGGCCTGGGCTTGGGTTACAGCGCCCAGGCCGCTGCTGAACGCGGTTTACTGCATATATATAAAGAAAAGCAGGAATTTTTTTTGGTCATTTTTTATCATGAGATATATGGTCTGTGAGTTTACCTGTATTTTTTTAGAAATGAATTTATGTGTTTTGCAGAAGTATGAGGTGTTTTGAAAAAATGCAGATGCAACACACACACACACACACACACACACACACACATACACTCTCTCTCTCTCTCTCTCTCTCTCTCTCTCT